ACAATAAACGTTTTGAATTTTGAATCTATTAATGTGCAAATGTACTGTTTATAAGGTTGGGGAAACCTGCAGAAGTCACTTGAATGAGTGACTAAACATTTCTCCCACTAAAAACGTTGAGATGAACAGAATCAACCTTTTGGGACTTCCTTACCTTGATGATTGAGCATGCATCAAAAGATCAGACAGAATATTTACAGACTACAGGTCACTTAAAATGAACATTTGGCACAAGCAGCTCACAGAGATAATTCCAGGTGGAGGAAACACCCAGTTTCAGTTTAAGTGCAAGCTTTAGGGATAGACAGAAGGAATAACTCTTGAGGTTAATGAAGCCAACTTTTGGGTTGGCACTTTTTGGATGTCGGTGTATGTGAAATGGGAGGGTCTTTAAATGAAAATTACTAACATTGACTTTTGAGAGAGAGAATAAAGCATTTTTTTTTATCAGGCTGGTTGTTAAAAAAGCATAAATTGGCCCAAGAATGGAGCCCTCTGGAACCCCTTCATAACATGCCAATAGATCTTTAATCTTCAGAACACCTTCTTCAGATAAATGTAGACGTGCCTGTTTAAACCTTACACAGGCCTGAAGACCAGCTGGCAACAGTCTGGCAACCTCCAGTCACTAGGGAAAAATGTTTATTTCCCACATTTGGTGGTTAGTGAGGGGTCGCTGCCATATTCTGGCAGCAGTCACAAAGACATATACAATGTTTTGCTGTAAACCTCCTCTCAGCTGCTTTGGTCCCTAGCAGGTTTCTGCAGCCGCTCATATTTTTTGTGAAGGAAACAACTTTTCTGCAATGTTTTGCAGTGTTCCCAGTTTGCACATTTTTTTGTCCAAGATTCACTATTGCTCTGTGGCTATTTAGTAAGCTGGCAGACAAGACGGTGTCTTTGATACAAACTACAGGTGAGTGTGGCACGATCACAATGAGGTTTTCAGTGCATCACTCTCCTTGTGACTCACAACCACTCACCAACACAGTTGGGGAAGACACATTTTTCCCTAGAACCCATAAGTTGCCAGGGGCTGTCTGGTTTCTAGGCATGTTTGACTGAGGCCTTACTTACAAACACAGGTGGTTAATTTCATTGTTTCAACCTAAAAAGGCAACAACAACTCAAGAAAGGCTCCAGGTTACTGATCCTATGGAATTGTGGGTATGGTATTTGGATGAGAGGATGGAGATCACAGTTTTGAGCTAATTTGACCAAAACTGTAGCTCAGATGTCTTGGACAGTCTGTTACCACAGTAACCTTCCTGCAGCCATATTATTGGTCTGATAGTTGCACTAAAATGCTCCAAAAATGCTCCAACAGCACGAAACATAGTCCAAAGGTCCAGTTCCAAATCCAGTTGGAACCTAGCAGACACCTAGCAGCTACTGCTTTCTGTATTGCCTTTTACCTGTAAGTAAAAAAGAGGCCACACCCCTAATAATGCAAAAGGGGAATTTTAAAAACATCCTTCCTCATACAGGTGTTATGAAAGGGGAAATTATCTATAGAAACTAAAACAGTTTGTGTATCAGGCTGTAAATACGTTTATTTTTACATGGGAGTCTATCCGTTTTTTAAGTGATGACGTATGAATCCTGCTTCCGAGTCCAGACTACTCTACATTTATTAAGGCTGTTGTGTTTTTAACATGTTTTAATGATTTGTATCTTGAAGTCAGTAATCACTGTTTACCTTTCTCGGGTTTTATTACCACTATTCATTTTAAAGCTCAGCTTTTAAACCCTTACAATGTAACTACATCCCAGCCCATGCAGGAGTATATTAATGGCTAACCTCGTATTGTGGATGGATTATCTCAGTTGTTTTTCCTGACTGAAGTTTGGTCTCTTTACAGCATCCTGCCATGTGAATGCATTTGTCCCTAACCATTGGGAACACTCACGTTAACTTTTATCGAGTAGAAAAAAGTTAGCGCTCATCCTCCAGCTTCAGTCTGTTTATATTATGCTAACATAGCTGTGTAGCTAGCCACCGCATAGCACATCATTATATACCAGCTAGTGCAGCTTCAGTAACCCTACTAACGTCACTGCTGTTTAGTTTTCTGTCTTCATTTATGTCTGAAGTGATAACAGAGCTGTACGTTTTAATCTTACAGAAATCCCTCAGTCAGAACATGGTATATCATCTTTAGATGGAAACAAGTGAGCTAACTTCCTGCTAAATTCTAACTCCGTTAAACTTCAGAAATTCTGTTTTCATGGATGCTTGGATGTTAAACTTTACTGTTACACCTGGTAGAGCAGCCACACCGATCATTTAAACAGTCAAGAATTTATACAGTGATCTCACTCTTAGTGATGCTGCAGTGTTCGTTTGATTTAGGGACCTGAAGCAAAGTTTGGACCCAGAAACAGCTAATGACGTCTTAAACACCAGATGCGACTGACTCTCTGCTGCTGCCTCTGCTGGACACTAGAGGAACTGTAGCTCTTTGTTTTCATATTTGCTGCATAGCAGATACACTTGTTCTGTTTGGAGGGTTAATGATGGATCGATCATTAACAGGTGTGCTCACATCTGTAGACAACGCTCTCTTTTTCTGCATTTTGTCGCATTATTTTATCATAACCCTCTAAAAGAAGATGATCAGTGCAGAGGTCTTATTTGAAGTACAGAAAAACAAGATGAGGGTACAGAATGATCTTGTAATCAATTAGCTATACAGTGTAAAGTGGACATTATAGATCTACCAGCTTCTATAAGGTATAATTTCTCAAATGTGCAATTATACCAACCTTTGTGTGAATTTTAAAAAGACTGGAAAAAGAAAGTCTTTTTGTTATCTGGAGTTTCTCAGCAGGATGAAAACCCACCACAGTGGCAGTGCTCACACTTTAACCGCTCTGATCCTTCAACAAAGAGAAAAAAACCTCAGATGCAGCAGGTTACTTCAACCATCTCAAACTAAACTTCATCTGTTCCAGTCTTCCTGTGTGATCGAGTAGTAACGATACGGTGTCCATGATAATACTAACAAAAAGGTAGTAATGCTCTCTCAGATCAGCTGACAGTTTGAACAGCACCATGAAAACTGCTAAACGAAATTATGAAATCGGCCGACTTGAGAGACGAAGGTTCAAAGACAGGTTTTGATTAGTTTAGATTACATTTTAAAGATTGAGGACGTCCACGTGGAGCCTCATCCATAGAAATGCTGTTGTGATAAATGCCTTTTATTACCAGACATTAAGAAATGATGGTGGAAATGATGAAGCGAGCTGTTTCATGCCACATTTCAGACAAAAACAATGCACATTTTTTAACTGGAGTGATGACTGCTTCTGGTTTTTTGCAGCAAGGGAGAAAAATGTGACACTGGAGATTTAACTGAGCTCAGGCCTGAAAGAACAGTCCATCAACACGACATCAGAGCCGTACAAACGCAGCAGGACGTGTGGCCACAAGCAAAAAGTTCAGTGTTAGACTGTTACTGCAAAAGCAATCTAATTACTTTCTGCAATGACTAAGTAAAGTATGCGTTACTTTCTTCATAATTTATTTTTCTGGAGGTTAAACAGCGGTGCGGCGCAGTTTGTGTAAAATGTGTTGATCTCCAGCACCCTGACCTGTGCTGCGTATCGCTGTGAGGAGAGACTACGAGCAGGTGCAGCAAGTCTGAGCACGCTTCACATTCATGCATCGGGTTTTTAAACTGTTGCTTCAGTAAAGTTCTTAAGCTCAACACGATGAAATGAACGACCATGTTTAATGTAAACCTGTTGTCTGTGAGCTGTTCCTCTGACTAACACAAACTGTGTTAAGAGCAGACTTCACCTCCTCTCACATCTGAGCTGTTTTTGATTGAAACCCCGATGAATTGATTTTCCTGCCTGGACTAACTCTCCTGAGGTCTTGCTGGACGTCATGCATCACCAGAATGTGAAAACTGCCAAATAACTCATGGGGAAATATGTGAGTGTTGAAAAGTGCAGTGAAGGAGTGTGAGTGCTTTATCAGAACCTGTGATGATGATGGCGTGTTTGATGAGCAGGAGGTGCTCAGGTGCTTCTGAAGTGTGTGTCGCTGTCAGAGTTTTACTCCTCGATCACAGTGAGTCAGCTGTCAGGCTGCCAGCGCTTCGTTTTTCTCACACCTCAAACGTGTCGGGGAGTCTCGGAGAGTTTGATCCTCTGCAACAGCTCATCAGTGCCTGAGAGCCAAACTTCAGACTCTTCAAGACTTTCACAACAAAAGAGCCATTAAAGGAACTCATCAACCTCTCAGGCTGATGTTAGAGTGGCTTCTGTGAGGGCTCCGGGGTACCACATGCTCTTTTTATTTCTCTAAATATTCTTGCAGGCATATTACAATAACCAAGTAACTGCACGATTATGACTGTTTTATGGTTTTTATAAGATTTATCAGTTAGGATATCATCAAAATATCACGCAAACATACTGAACTACACAAACATGAAAGCATGTCGGAGCCATCGCCCTCAGAAAAATGGACCAATGGATCAATCCACTCATTTTTAACTCCCAAATGATTAAATTCCTATGTGCTCACAGACAAACACAGGAGCAAAGAGAAGTGCTTTCATCTCATCATTGGATCCATCAGCCAATTAAACTTTATTAGCTTTTCATGCAGGTTATAGGCGCTTCACAGGTGACTGAAATATCTAATAAAACAGAACAAATGGCACAAAAGATGATTTAAAATCAAAAGAAATACATGCAAAATGCAAAGCTAGAGTTTATTTATCTTGGAAAACTTGGAAAATGTCTGCAGCACAAAAATATAAAACAACCAACCTGCAAAGAAAAGTAGTATTATTCAAGCAGAAAAGAGTTCAATAAATGAAATCAATAAAATTGAACAGAAATAAAACGATTCATGCTGGGAACTCTTAGAGAGACATTCACTGATGTAACCGAACATCTGGTCACATCTGTTCTGGAATCACAAAGTTCCAAAAACTCAAAGAAATCCTGCTGACGAGCATCTACCGGGAGGTCACGTGTACCTGCTTTCCTGAGCTTCCTGTTCCTGAACACAGAGACGATGACCAGCAGGTTCCCGATAACATCCACCACGATGGTCGCGATGAGGACACCGGCCAGCAGGGTGGCCACCCAGGGCACGGCGTGGTGCTGCGGGGCCTCTCCTCCCGCGGCCGGCGTGGAGTTGCGGGGCCCCAGGGTGCCCGTCGCCGCGGTGGGCTCCCGGTCCTCCAGGGGCATCAGTTGCGGGAGGTGCCGGGGGTCGACGAGTCGCATCGGGTCCATTCAGCGTCACGCGCGGGGGTCAGAGCTGCGCGCGACGCCGCCTCCGGGCGCGCGGTTGTCCGGGTGAAGCATGCCGACACGTCTGCGCAGGACTTTTCCCGCCTCACGGTTCAGTCACAGTCACAGCTCCGCGCAGCTGTTGTCACACTCACGTGCGCACAGACGCCTCTGTCTGCGCGCAGCAACTCCGCGCGCTTATAGCGCCCAGCCTGCGCGCAGCCGCTCTACATCTCCGTCTGAGGAGAGGAAGACACCTCCAGCACTGTCTCCTCTGCTCCTCCTTCCTCTCCTCCCTCCTCCCTTTCCTCCTCTGCTCCTCCTCCCTCCCCCCTCTCTTCTTCTTTTACTATTTCTCATCTCTTCTTCCCCTCTTTCCTCCTTTCCTCCCTCTTCCCTTGCCTCCTCTCCTTCCTCTCCTGCTGCATCTCCATCTTCTCCTCTGTTGAGCTGTTTGAACCATTCTAATGGTTAATGTTATAAATGATAATAAATGCCCATTCTATTATTTTCTATTGTACTGTATTGTGAGAAAGAGGAAATAAATCAGGAAGGTAGAAGAAGTGTGGCTAATGCTCTTGAAGTGGAATATTTGAACCCTGACCCAGTGATCTCTCTCCTTGCTAAACCCAATTCAATTCAATTCAATTCAATTTTATTTATATAGCGCCAAATCACAACAAATGTCGCCTCAAGGCGCTTCATAGATACAGAGAAAAGCCCAACAATCATATGACCCCCTATGAGCAAGCACTTTGGCGACAGTGGGAAGGAAAAACTCCCTTTTAACAGGAAGAAACCTCCGGCAGAACCCAGATGCTTCCAAAATCTCAAAGTGTGTGGCGGGAAGCTCCGAGGGCAAATTTCTCCCATTGGCACAAGAAAACATAAATCCCTTAACCCCCCCACCACCCACCACCCACCACCACCACAGATCCACGAAAAGGACTCATGTAAGGAGGTGCTCCAACAGGTAATTTACAACAGCACTCATCTCTGATTCTGAGCACAACTTTTCGTATTTTAAATTCACAAAGTGTTACAACATGACCCATTTTACTCTGAGCTGATTTTTAGGAACTGAGATGTTCTTCCAGGGAGTGTAGAGAGGTGAATATCCAGGCCACAGACAGGAGGAGAAAGAACGCATGAGTCACATTAGTGGCCCACAGATGGGCGAAGGTTATCACGATCTGCGGGACTAATGCAGTGTTTTACTTAATCACATACAGATTTGACTGAACTAATCATCTTAGACATGGGAACAATGATGGAATCACCTCGCTTCACAGAGATGAGATCAAAAATGTAATCATGTTTTTTCAGATGAAGTGGAAGAAAAAAGATGGACTTATTAAAAACACATCAGCTGCTGCCGTGCTGCACCTGCTCTTTGGCCAAATTCATTGTCATCCGGCTTCTTACATGAGCAGGAAATGTGCTTCTTTTTTTTTAGTCATCTTTGTTTTTTGGAAAGACGTCAGAGAAAACTTCCAGCGTCATGCAGTTGATTGCTCGTCTTTAGCATTGTGCTGGTTTGTTTTTGTCTTTTCTACATCTGAGTCATCCACTTTCAGACAGTTGTGTCTCAAACACCGGTTCCTGCTCTGCCCCGTCTGTGTTTCCTACTGCATTTTGTATTCTAAACTATACTGCGACTGTGGCTCAGGGGGTTGGAAAGCGTATCTGTAACCGGGAAGTCGCCGGTTCGATCGCCGGGCTCTCTGTCCCGGTCGTTGTGTCCTTGGGCAAGACACTTTACCTACCACCTACTGGTGTTGGCCAGAGGGGCCGATGGCGCGATATGGCAGCCTCGCTTCTGTCAGTCTGCCCCAGGGTAGCTGTGGCTACAACCGTAGCTTGCCTCCACCAGTGTGTGCATGAATAGTGGTAAAGTGCTTTGGGTGCCTTGAAAAGCGCTATATAAATCCAATCCATTGTTATTATTACTGATTGGAGTTTCTGTCCTGATGCTCTGACCTCTTACACCGTCTCCACGTAAGCTTCCTATTTTGGTTGCACTTGCTCCAAATTTGAGAAAAGTTGGCTGAGCATTTGCTCTGTCAGGTTTCCTTCTGCAGACAGACTTATTTTGCATATTTAGATTTGTGCAGGTTTTGAAAGGTGAGTCCATCATTTTTTCTTGATATGGCAAATAGTGTGTCGTTCAGTAATGTAATAAAACATGTTTGGTGTGTTTAATGAGGCCAGGATGCTCGGCTGTTAAACACACATAGTTTGTTATCTGTTATCTGTCATATCTCCATGTGCTGAATAAGAAGGGGAACGAATACACAACTCCTAGCAGAGAGGAGATGAACATGACTCCATTAAATGTGCTGAGTGATGTTTGATTTTTAAAAATCCTTTACCAAAGAATGCCCACATTATAAGTTAGAAATCTCACAAAGAAATGACAGAGTGGGTGAAGCTCCGTGTCATGGTGGTGCTTCACTTCCTGTAACTTTCCTGTAAGCTGTCACAGTCGCCAAAATGAACAAAGAGTTCCAAATTTAACTTTGGAGTATAAAAGGAGATTTTGGGTGACAGCTGTTTGTGAAACATGTAGCTACAGGCCTCATTTCCTGATTTTGATGAAAAATCTGCTGCTGAGCTTCTGAAGTACCAAAATATTCTCTGTATTTTTATTTTCATGCAGAAGATTAGAATGTATTCCCATCCATAATTATCCTGCGTTCACAAGATAAAAATAATTTGTCTTCCTTAGAAGGTTTGGTGTGCTCACACATCATCCCGCTGTTGCTGCTGCTGCTGCTAAGCCCAAACATGGATGAAAATGGATTTCTCAGATCTATGTTCCATCCCTGGTCACTCCATCTAAAATCAGTCCAACCTGACCACCTCAGAATCCGCTGATTTCTTGGTTATACAGTCTCTCCACCAAATCCTCCCGTTAACTATTAAAAAATTCAGAGACACAGGGAATCGTGTCTGGACGATGTAAAAACTTTAACAGAGCTTAAATGTTTCTGACTCCCAAAGATTTCATGTAGATATCTTGTGAAATCCTCATGAAGATCTGAGGGAAGAAACAGTGAATCTGGAGCCATGCCTGTGCACTTCAACAGCCTCTGAAAGCATTCACAGTATGAGGGTAAAAAAAATGTACGTGGCTTCTTTAACAAAATGATCCCCGTGAGCGCCCCATGCTCCAGTCAGAGATGTTATGAGCAGAGATGGGCAGTAATGTGTTACTTGTAACGCGTTACTGTAATTCGATTACTTTTTTCAAGTAACGAGTAAAGTAAGGGATTACTATTGCAAAAACCGTAATTAGATTACTGTTACTTTCCCGTAGGAACGCTGCGTTACTGCGTTACTAAAACCGTGATTTTTTTGCCTCATGTCTCATGACAGTGAGACACTGTCTCATGACAGTGACGTAAGCGAGTGCAACGTTTGTGACAACAGCTGTGTGCAGATCAACAATAGATAATATATCGAGTGCGGGAGAGAGTATGAGCGTGCAGCGTTTAAAGC